TGAAGAAAGAGCACCCTTCTTTAGTTTTCTCAGACCAAGAATTACCAGATCAAATTCTATCTGGTTATCTTTCAATTCTGAGATTCTGTAATTGAGCTCCTGAGGAATATCGAGCTCTACCAAGAGAGAAGAAGGTGTAGTCTCCCTGAGCACCTTACAGTCTTGTTTTAAAACAAGCTCAATCCTAACCAAACAAGAAATAACAAGTTAGTATTTATAATTGTAAAAAAGAAAGCTTGTAAATGTTCACTTGTGTGATACTGACTTTGGACATCTAGAGGAAGGAATCCTAAGCGGCAAGTTTCCTATTAGCCATCCACCCCATGTTTATGCTAACCCACTGCTTCCAAGGGAAGTGGCTGCTCTGCTTCCTATAGCAGAGGCAGTACCTGCTCCCTTTGGTTTCTGCTGGCACAAGAAGGAGCTAGCTGCCAGTGGTGATCTCATCAACTATTCCCATTTTTAATTTAATTTTCACTTTTTCATTAAAAATTATATATCCCCCTCCAAATTTAAAAAAAAAAATTATATGTATATAAGGAGTATATACAAGTATGTATGTTGTTATTGCTGTCGAGTTGGTTCCAACTCATAGCAACCTGTTATAGGGTGTCTGAGGAGTAACTGATAGGTTTGAACTGCCAACCTTGTAGTTGCAGTCCAGTGCTGATCCTTCAGCGCTACACCAGGAGTCTGTGTGTGTGTGTGTGTGTGTGTGTGTTAAGTGCCATCGAGTCTGTTCTGACTCATAGTAGCACTTTATTTGATTTCCAAAGCTTTAAATCTTCACAGGAGTAAGGAGCAGAAAGGATCTTTCTCATGCAAAGTGACTGGCAACTTGAATTATGGATTTTGTGGTTCATAGTCCAGTGTTTATCTTATGGAGTCACCAAGCTCCCATGTTTGTGTATGTGTTATATGTGTAATATATATGTTAAGTGTCATGAAGTTGTTTCTGACTCCGTAGTGACCTTGTATAAGGTTTCTATAGAGCAGCTGGTTTGAACTGCCTATTTGGCAAGTCTAGGGCTTTATCCTAGGATATATGTTGTTGTTAAGTGCTATCGAAACAGTTCCAACCCATAGTGACCCTGTATATGAGCACCTGGTGATCTTAAACCACTGACCTTGTGATCCAAAGTGACTTTGCAGTCCAATGCATTAAATCCACAGCACCACAGCTGGACTCCATGTTGTTGTTGTTAAGTACCGTGGAGTCGGTTCTGACTCATAGTGACCCTACACAGGGTTTCCAAGGCTGCAAATCTGTACAGGAGTAGAATGCCTCATCTTTCTCCCACGGAACCACTGGTAGTTTCAAACTGCTGACCTTGAGGTTGGCAGTCTGACTTGTAACCACTACAGTAGCAGGACTCCATATATATATATATATATACACACACACACACACACACACTACTATGAATCTTAAAATAGAAATCAGCCATCCTCTGACCTACCTATTCCCTCCCCATGTCGAGATGTCGAGTTATGCTCCCTAGTGGTATCCCCAGATACCTGTCCTGGATTCATAGAGGTTGAAAAATGGAGTTAGACTGGAAGAAAGGAAACTGATATTTAAGTTATGAATACCTGTGTTTGACACGTCGTTAGTATCTTTATATGAGGTGAATGTGAACATTTGCTGTGTTATAATACCTGTTTCTGGTGAAAACATTGCTCTGGTCAGACACCCAGGAATTCCATTTCCTTATAGATGAAAAGAAGCCACTTGTGGAGCCCCTAAGCAGAAGGAAAACCTAAGAAGACCTTTTGCTGATCTAGGTTCTCCTGTGTGAGCTAATTGCATTATCATTATTTGTAATTCTCATTGTCTCAGTTCTTAACAAATGAACGTCACCGAATCATCCTCACTATATAGAAAAAGGAACTTAGCCCTGAACAAAAGCACCTTTCCTGGGAACCCAAGCCAGTTGGCTTCCTCATTGGAGGTTATTGTCCCTCATCTCTTTCCTGGTTCCCACCAGCTTACTCACGGATGCTTCCACATCTCAGAGAAAGTGGTTTGTTTACTTAGCACCTCTCGGAAACAGAAATAAGGTCTTTTTTGCTTCCATGTTTGATGAGAGCTTGGTACCCATTACTATGGGTCTGACTCAGAGTGTCTGTGCTTTTCTTGTGTTCTCAGTACACTGTCCAAGGGCCATTGTGGCCCAGCTAACTGCAGTTAAAAGGGTTACTGTGGAACTCTCCTTCCGGGTCAACACACTTGACTCACAGCCAAGACCTGTCTCTCTGAATCACAACATTCCAATGAAGCTCCCTTCACCCCCACCATAGGCTTCTGCAGCTTTTTACTCATACAAACAAAAATAAATCTCACTACCGGCCTCTGAACTCCATAGCAGCATGCTTCCCCCTTCTCCCCAAGCGTCCCACGGCTGTGAGTGGGGACTTGGCACTCTCCCCACCGACATCACTTTTTCACTCCCTGTGCATCCTGTGTCCTTCTCTCACCGTGCGACCCAGAGATCGGAATGGGACGTGACGGCCGGCACAGGCGCCGTACACAGCTGCCAGGAATCTGACGGGTAAAATCTGGAAAAGTTGGGAGGGCAAATGCTAAACACACACACACACACTTCTGCATACAGCACCACTCAGAGAGGGCCGGAAGTACAGACACCCATAGAGGAGTTCTTGCAGGCTCTCAACCCCTCCTCAGTCTGTCATTCTTTAAGGGGACTAGGCTGGACTCATGACCCACAGCTGACCTCCAGCGGCCCACTGGTACCCCAGGAGGAGAAGGGGCAGCTTCATTTTATCTCCTGAGACTCTCTGAGGGCATGTGGGGAACAGGAAGCAGTTGTGTGGTGACTCACTGGGCAGAACCAGGTTAAGGGAAGTTGTCTGCGGGTGTCCCTGGGACCGGATGATGGCAGCACAGCTCCGACCACCCTCACACATTGTAACCCCACCCCACCCGAGGAATCCGAAAGGCCGCCATCTCTCTTGAGACACTGTGCTCTATTTACCTTTCTGACCCTAAGCAGCAGCTCAAAGAACTCAAGAGCTTCTCTGGGCCCTGCTGCTATCTTTTCCTTCTATTCAGTCATCAGAACACTCAGGTGGACTCATTTTGTCCCCAGCCTCCCTTGGCCATCTGACTAAAAGGTCTCATGCCTACTGCCAGCTCTAAAGGTAAGGTAGCAAAATGTTTGGGAAGCTAATTGTTCATTGGGAAAAAATGTCAGCCAGTTCCACTTTCTTGATAGCATCAAAGCAAGGTTGAAGGATCATTTCCCAAGACAGAACTGAGATGTACAGGAGTCTCAGGGAGCACCAACAAGATCTGGGAACATGAGGAAGAGGATTATTGGTGCTTTGTCTGCCTGATGGAGAACGGGCAGGGAGTTGTTAACCTGAACAGGGACCATTACCTCTTCTTACAAAATATCCAAGCCAGGTTCAGTTCAATATGTGTCACTCTCTAGTTGGCAGCCCTGTGGGGAGGGGAATGACCCAGGTCTCCTGGGAGGGCGGCCAGCAGCTGTGGTATTTTCCCCTAATGAGGTGAGATCAATAGGAAGACTTGAGCAGAAGGGGCCTCTCAAGTCGAATTTCTCATGTCTGCCAGCGTCCTGTGGTCTGTGCCTTCCACCAGCTGTAGTGGCAATGGCAGCTTTGCCTTACTCATAGGGAGAGGTCCCCAGCAGGTCACAGAGAAGCCACCCCCATCATTTGAAGCCATGTCCTTTCAGTTTTACTGTCATTGTCAGTGAAACCTGAGCAGCCTTCCTTGTTGACTGTTGGTGGCCAGGGCCCAACACCACACATCTCTCTCAGTTGGCACGCATGTCCACTCTTCCTGCCTTACACCTGCATGTCTCTTGTGTCTCTGCAAGTTGCTATGTGGCAGAAGACCATGAGAGGGCATGACAGGGCTGCTACCTGCTCACTTGGTCCCTGCCAGGTTTATGTCGGCACTCATTACACAGGGATCCATCTGGGCAGATATCAGCGAATTGGTTGTCTCTTGGCTGTGTAGTCCCCAGAAGAAGTAGTAGTCCAGTAGTTACCACTGATTATGTGCTGTCGTGATGGGCATACCCAGAGCTGTCATGAAGGACCACTGCCACACAAAAGACTATGCAGACCTAAAAAAAAGTTGGGCTTCCGTAGGTGTGTCTGGAGGTCCCTGAAAATCTGTAAGGCTAACGCGCATAAGACCACGCGCTTTCTGGGGCGTGGTACTCAAACCTTGGGGGTTGCTGCATGAGGTGGTTTCTAAGTGGTACATAGAAAACACCTGGAGTCCTTGTTATGGTGATTTAGCATGCACTAGTGAACCTGACAAGGCTATCAGATCCTTGATACCACAGGAATAAGGAATTAGGAATAGGCTAAGCAAAAATGAGAGTTGACTTAAAATCAGTTTAAAGAAGAATATTAAGTAAATAGTAGGGTTGCGGCAAAGTAGAAATAAAAAACTTTGCTGTCAAGAGTAAGGAGGTGGTGATTGTGAGCAGTCTGAGTGTTTCTCTTTGCAGACACATGAGAGAGACCTTGATGCTGTGGGAGACTTCGTTAGTCAGCATCACTTTCTTTGTATAGCCTTTGAGCTTAAGTTTGTTTTTTTTTTAAGCTATACAAGAAAGTAAATTGTAATAAATTCTGTTATGGCTATTCGTAAGTGTCTATGCTGAGAAGTACTCCTCCATATGCTGCCAATAAATGTGAAACTACTTTCATATCATCCAAGGAACCTAGCTCTTCGTCATTGATCTTTAGCCCAAGTTCTGACTTTGAGATACATCACTGGTGCTTTCTCAATCCCAAGCAAAGTTTTAGTCACAACCCCTTCCCTGGGTTGTTGGTCTATATTGCTTTTTATTGCAGTGTTTGCCCAGGCCCTGACAGGGGCTCGCTGTTCCACTGGGCAGGAGGCAGGGGAGGGTGGCCAGGAAGCTGACACACTGTGGAGTCAGGGCCCTGGCCCGCCTGCTCACTGGCTCACTCAGCCTTCTGTGTCTCTGTAGGCTGTCTTGGAGGACCAGAGTCAGATGAGGCAGATGGAACTCGAGATCAGACCCTTGTTCCTCGTTCCAGACACCAATGGCTTCATTGACCACCTGGCCAGTCTGGCAAGGCTGCTGGAGAGCAGGAAGTACATCCTGGTGGTGCCCCTCATCGGTGAGTCAGGCGGGAAGGCCAGAGCGGCCTGCACGTGTGCAGCACCCTCCATACACATGCCCCTCGGCCCTCGGCCAGGCAGGCAGAGCCCTGCTGTGTGTGTGTAAGACAGGATTTGTAGGGAAGTAGGGAATGCGTGGGGCAAGGAAAATTGTTTAATAATCAAAGCAGTTCAGATTATTATGACTGATCCATGGCTTAAACTGCTTGAGCAAATGAACTCCTGTGTCCCAGCAACCAGAGGCTGCATGAACCCAGCCCTTGTTTTTATCCTTATAAAGCTTGCAGTAAAACAGCAAAGCTGGTTCCCGTTATTGGTAAACACTCAGCCCTGGCAGATAACGGCAGTGCTGCTGGGTGGTCTGGCAGGGGAGACTGGGAGGATTTTGAAGTGGTTAGATGCCTTTGGTCTGATTGTCTTGTAGCTTTTCATGACCATTCTGTTGGTTCGAGGTAGCATTCTTCTGGCCAGTGTCACACTAAGGCCAGGCATGGGAACCTTCTAGAACAAGCCCTGCCTATGATTCCTGTCTGGTCATCAATTACTGGTATAGGGTCAGCATCCTGGGACCCAGCTTGGTTGTTTCCACCCTCTCTGGCCAGAAGAGCCCAGCTGGGCCTCCCAGATTTCTGTCTCCTGGGAACTGTCAGAAGTCCTTGGTTCTTGGAGCTCTGTGGTGGGTCATCATCAGTACCCTGGATTTTGGACTCTGGACTCCTGTCTGATACAGCTGATGGCTATACTGTGTGGAGAAAGAGATTCTGGGAGAAGATCAGAAGCTTAGGCTTATTAATGTCCCCCTCTCAGCAGCCACTTGAAATAAGTTCGGGAGTCCTGTCCTCTGGAAAAGCTGCCAGACTGGCAGTCTGCCTGCCAAGCCACCTCTGACATCCATGCCAAGATGTTCCATTGGGCCTTCCCTCCCAGTCCCAAGTGTCTTAGTGCCAGATGGGGGTGAAAACAAAGGGCAGGAAACATCCGCCCCTGCAGAGGCTGCAGAACCCTGGGGGGTTGTGGGAAACACGTTAGCACCACCTGAGAATGTTGGCACTGAAGCAGCCCTCCTCCCTGCCTCCACCCTCCCCGTCTTCCTTCCCCTCCCCATGTGGCCTGGCCAGAACCTCTTAAGCCCAGGCCCTTCGACCTAAGGAAAGACGATTTTCTGTTCTTTAGAAGTAGAGTAGCTTCTGTCACCGGGACAGAGCAATAAGATCATCAAATTGTCTTAGGCTTCCCCTTTTTCCACTCTGGGTCAAAGGGTGAGATGACTTTCCACCCTCTGGCCAGAGATCCAGGATAATACTTCTGCACTTTCTTACACCTCAGCTATCTAGGAGTATATCATAGAAGAAAGTGACTTAGATGGTCAGAAAACTGTGTTGCTGAGAAAGGTTGCTCTAAAGAGAACCCACTCACAGCTAGCAGAGTTACTGGTTACCAGGACTGATTTTCTCCACTGTATCCTCAGTCTCCTTGTTCATGGAGTCAGTGAATGCCAGAGCAGAAGGCCTTGCTATTGAGGAACTTAGGGTCTAGCAGGGAAAGCCAGTTTTGTTGAGGAGAGAGCAGGCGCATGAGAGCATACCAAGAATGTGGGCAGATCAAATACGAGATCCCCAGTGCTGGTGGGAGCAGACTGCTCTGTTGCAGCCACACATGCCAGCCTCCTAAGCCCTGCCCCAGCTGGGCAGGCCCTGAGGCTTTCCTTTGTGGACTCATTCATGTCCTTTGCCCTGAGCAGCAAAGGGTTAAGCCTATAGCTTTCCCTGCTTGTTTCTTCTGCTCTTTAACCTGCTCTATGCTCCTTAGACCTGACCCCAACCTTGAGAAGCCCTGCCTGGTGCAGAAGCACAAACAAGCCTCCCCTTTGAAGCCTGTTTAGCTTGGAAGCAGGAAAGCAGATTTTGGGATGGAATACCAGTTTTTCCTGTTTGATGTTCTTTTTACTGCACCATCCACCCTTCTCCTCCCCCACCCCACCCCCAGCCATGCATTGTATACACACTGTAGCCTCAGGTTGCTGAGAACATGGGCATTGAAAGTGTTTGTATGTGAGTGTGTGGGCATGAGTATGTTTCCACATGGGTCCGTCCCTTCCAGAAAGTGTCTCTGAATATCCAGACAGTGTGTGCCAGGCTCACCATGGAACAGCATGCTTTTGCTGACTCCCTAGGCTATGAATCATTGCACTGAGGAGATGCCTCAGACCCCAAATTCTCCCGGAGCCCCCAAGGAGTGCATATTTCCCACTTGACCTCAGACTTTTGGCTGGAATTTTGGAAAGAGTCTTCACCAGAAATGAAGCCATGTCCCAGACACATAGGCAAGCAGCAGACAGACACACAGACACACACACACACGTGCAGTGTCAGAAGAAGTAAATGTGTCAAGGGTATGGCTTGAGGGGAATACCAGGGCCCTTCCAAATGAGGCTGTGGATGTTCCTTTCCACTTGGTGATCTCACTGAACTCTGCCATGGAGGTGGAGCATAGAATGTGACCAGCAGCAGTAATCCAAACCCCTCCTGGCCTTCTGTAGTTAGGGCCCAAGTGACATGAGAGAGACACCACCTTCCTCTCAACTGCTACCTACTCTTACCTCTCCTAAGGGACTATTTCTATTTGATCCTACAACTAAGGAATATAGTAGGACCGGGTGTCTTCCTCTGAATATAGCAGAAAATCCCTTTTAGGTTCCTCCCAGGCAGGAGGGCAGGACCAAGGGAAGAAGCAGAAAGGGAAGGAACACTGTGGAAAGCCTGGGATAGTTCTTGTCCACAAAATTGCCCTACTGCCCTAGTTTTCATTGAAAGACTCTACTAGGGCAGGAGGGATTCCATAGTCTGGGAAGGGGCTGGCTGGAAGGTGAATGGACCAAGCAAGGCCTAGCATGAGGGCAGATAGAATCACCACCGACGCTAATACCTTGGGGGGCTCTGTCCCATCAGTGATCAATGAGCTTGACGGCCTGGCCAAGGGACAAGAAACAGACCATCGGGCTGGGGGCTATGCCCGTGTGGTACAGGAAAAGGCCCGGAAGTCCATCGAATTCCTTGAGCGGCGATTTGAGAGTCGGGACTCTTGCCTTCGGGCACTGACAAGTCGTGGTAATGAACTCGAATCCATCGCCTTCCGCAGTGAGGACATCACTGGCCAGCTGGTGAGACCCCCCATCTCCAGGAGAGAGCCCACAGCTAGCCTTTAGAACAAGGTATTCAGGAGGGAGGGACTAAAGGAGGGTCAGCCCATTTAGCTGAGGAGTGTGCCATCATGGAGCCCAGTAGGAGGTGTTCCTTGTCCTCCAGATCATGCTTGGCATGGACTAGACCCAGCCTAGCAGGACCAGGGTAAGTATGGGAGGGAGTCTAGGCTATGGCCTTTCCCAGGGCCCCAGAGGTGGCGGGGTGTACCTCTGCATCCTCCACATGGCGCCCCCTTCTGCCCAGTGGTGTTCCTCACACTGTCTTCCTCTAGGGGAACAATGATGACCTGATCCTCTCCTGCTGCCTCCACTATTGCAAAGACAAGGCCAAGGACTTCATGCCCACTAACAAAGGTATGACTTTAGAACTCTCCTGGGCAGTGGCGCCTGCCCCAACATCATTCATCCTCCTCCCTTCTTCATCCTGCCCACCTCAGCCCTAGAAAAGGACCTTCCACTGTCTCTGACCTGGGAAGTCTGAGGAATCAGGACTCAGGTCAACCTGAGTTTCCTGCCATCCTGAAGGTCAGACCTCTCTGTCACAGCTCCCTCACCCCACCCCCAAAGAATGTCAAGGGGATGCTGGACCAGGGAACCAGGCTCTAGGCAGCAGGTGTCCCCACCTTGCATGCATCCATGTCCTGAGAAGTGTGCCATCATTGGACATTTCCTTTCTCAGGACCTCAGTGAATTTTCTCTGACAGCTAGAGTATCTTTGTAATTCAGTGTAAGGTCTTCCAACCATGCTTTCCTGAACCCAGCTCTTGGCATCTCTGAGAAAGACTGTCCCCAGTGCTCCCTGAGACTCGCTTCCCTTCTCTCGACCCAACTCTGCCCCGCCCTGGATGTTGACTGTACATCAGGGCCAGCAGAAAGGTATTTCCCCAGCCAGTAGAGAGCATTTTATTCCTAGTCTTTACTTCATGAACTGTATAGTACTTTTGCTGGCTGGCCAGAGTTGGAGGCCAGTGAAAAGAGGGACTGAGCCCTCAGCTCAGTTTTCAAGACTTGCATTTTGGTGAGCAGAATGCCGTTTTCAGGTTAGGGACCCACACACTGTGATTCTCTTCCTAGGTGAGGTATCTGCCCACACAGAGGCACAGGTGTTGTCTGGTTCTGGTTCCCAGGGTTCTGCCGTGTCTTCTGTGAAGGGAGTTCCTAGTTCAGTGTCATCTACAGAGTTGCTCGTCATTTGGCTCCTGAGTGCACATGTGGAGAGTTTGGTGGTTTTCTCTCGAAGTCGTTGTCACCCATCGTTCTTTTCCATTCATGTTCCCAGCTCTGACTTTCAAACTGGTATGGGAGTGTCTTCTCTCCTTGCTCTGCTTCCATATCATCCACATTAGCTTTAACCCTTCACTCTGCTTTAGCATCAGAGTTACGGAGCTATGGGAGGAAAGATGGATGTGGGGGAGATTATACTAAAAAAGTCATCTAAACAGAATGAATGATACCTGTTTGTGCCAATACAGAAAGATCTTTAAGATAGTTGGAGTTACGTAAATGTGGCTAATATGATCCCAGTGTTATTGGGGGTAGGGGTTGTAAATAGGTACAAAGAAATCTGGAAGGATACAAGTCATTTGTGTGTCACTTAGGCCCAGACATGGGGTATTGCAGTGGTCAAAAGGAGAGACCTGCCTGAGCTAGAGGAGCTCTGTGTGTGCTGTAGCCCAGGCAACTTCTGAGAGGAGCAGCCTCTGAAGGAGAAGTGGGCAGGATTGCAGAAGGCCTTGTTGGGAAGTCTGTTGGGAAGAATACTGTCATGGCCCCACCCCAGCTTCACAGCCGTTTCTTTCTTAGGAGAGACATGTTTTGGCTTTGACCCTACTAATCTCCCCACCCCCACTTCACCCCAAACAGCCTACAGGATCCCATTGCCATCCTGGGGACCACCCCTATCAGAATTACATCAGCAATGGCTGGTGTAATCAAACCCCATTTGTCAGTGTGAATTCTCAGCAGATTAACTTGTCAGATCCACAGAGAAACCGTCACCAAATGTTTATGTGTAAACGATGTTGAATTTTAAAATCATGTGGATTATGGCGGATGGGGCCTGACAAGATGACAGTCTCTGGTTTCTAACAAAGTGAAGTTACCAGTGTCAAAACAGAGGATGTTTATTGTTAAAATGTCTCAAAAGTATCCACAGAAACCCCTGTAGACCCCTGCCAACAGCACTGGGCCTCGGTTGGCTGACCTGAGGCCTGGGGCTCTCCTGGTCTGAGTCCCAGGGCAGAACTGGTGAAGTTGCATACAGACTCACGCAGCCAGCTGGGAGCCCCACATACCACTGCATACCACCACACCCCACGCTCACACCCTTGAGGGGCCAGCACAGGCACTTGAGTGGCCTCAGAGCATTCTCTTTACCCATGGCCTCCTTTCTCTTCCTGTCTGCCCACCACAGTTCCTTGTCTCTTCCCATCACACCCACTTCCACCTTCTCCCCCTCCCCCACCTCTCACCACCATCAAGACCACAAGCCTACCCTCCCAAGACTGACAGCCAGTTCTCAGCCTCCCTGCCTGGAACAGGCATGCCTAGAACTGCTAAGGGCAGACATGGATATTTGTAGTTCCCCAGCCCCGCCAGGTCATACATCCAGTGTGTACCACAGGACACTGCCTGTGCCTGACCTGGCTACAATCTGCAAACAGTCAAGCACGGAGGAGTGGTCCTGCCAGTGGTGGGGCTGTCACTTGTGTATTTGACCCTGATATCAATTCTCCCAAATACATCAAAGGGTTAAGAATCTAGAAGAAGAAAAGTGAAGGAAGAGACAGTACCAGAAATGCCTTCTAAAAATAATGAAGAAACAGTTTATGCTGTCATAGAAAGATCTATAAAATACATAGTTAAAAAAAAATACATAAAAAATAAACTATATCGTTTGAATGAAGTAAATATAACTAATACGATCCCAGTGTTATAGAGAGGAAATGTATACTTGTAAATGTTTAGAAAGAAATCTGGAAAGATTCAATTTTGGGGAGCCGGACAGAAATGTGTGAAGAAAGAGTTTGGGAATGATGATGTTGACTTTACCTTTCTTTTTTCTCCTCTGTGTTGTTAGAGATCGCGCCCCCACTTACATGGATCACTTCTATGTAACAGAGAACCTCATTTCACCTTAGCCTCAGGGCCACCTGCCTCCCCTCTCCTCAGAGCTTCCTTGAGTTGTCATCTCCCTCCACATACACTTTGTATTCCATCCTTATTTTCCTGTCTTCTGATACCTAAAGCCATTAGACCTGCTGACCCTGAAGGGAGAGTGTGTGCAAAAAGAGTTCTAAGTTCCAGAGCAGCCACACAGTCAGAGGGAATAGAAAGGAAAAGGCTGCTTCTACTCCTTTAGTTCAGTGTCTTGGGGGGCAGGTCAGTAGAAGTCATGTGGCATATGCAGCTCCTGTTTCAGCCCAGTATGGCCCCCTCTCTAAGCCACTAAGGGAAGGGCACCCTGGGCTACAAGGCTGGGAGAGATAAAAGACTTATGGAAGGCCAAGAAATGACTGACCCGGACCCCTTGGTCATCAGGACCACATTTCCCTGCAAGAGAAGAGATAGCCAGTACCTCTACCTTCACCCTCACTGAAGTCTTTCTGCTCTCTCATACCAACAGAGGAGCCAATCAGGCTACTGCGGGAGGTGGTACTATTGACGGATGACCGGAACCTTCGTGTGAAGGCACTGACAAGGAATGTGCCCGTTCGGGACATCCCAGCCTTCCTCGCATGGGCCCAGGTGGGCTGAGGGGGCACTCAAGGGCCTGCTCCCATGGAACCGTTCCTGAAAGGCCACCAGGTGCCCAGTGTAGCACGGAAGATGCCCATGTGCCTGAGCTACCAATCCACCCAGACAATAAACCATCCTCTTCCAATCCACACTGTGGCCGTGCTGTGGCGGAGCTGCTCCTCACAGAGCCCCTCTCAAGGGTCGGGCGGAAGCTGCTGGGACCCTCCTGGGCTGTCAAGATTTAGCAGGGAGGTGGCTGGCTGCAGCGACAGCAGGTGGGCGAGCCAGATGGGTCACTGTGCTCTCAGCCTTTTCCCTCCCCCTATATGGTTCAAGGGCTGAGGTAAGGCCTTCTCGCCCTAGACACTTGGCCACTTTCTGAGGTGGAGATGGGGCAGAGGGTTGAAAGTGTCCATCAGATGCAGGTGAAACTACAATTCCCTTTAATCTTCTTTCTTTAGAATCCTCATCCTCCCATTCTCAATCTGTGTCCAAGAGGTTTTGGTTATACCATGAAGAGAGTGCCCAGGGTGTGTCTCCCACTCCCTGGGCCAGGATATATATACCCATGAACCCATGTTGGGTTCTGGACACCATGTCTCCCCACCCCTCACAGCCATCCTCCCTTACTTCTTCCTGCCCTTAACATCCTGGATTGTACTTGCCACTTGTCTTTCTTTTTGAATGGTCATAGATCTAGAGGAAAGGGATATCTGGTCTCTTCACTCTTTGGCCTTTTTGCTATAGTTCTTGCTTCACTTTCCTCATAGGCTTAGAAGTTCCCTCTCCTCTCCTTGGCCTTCTGAATCATCCCTCTCACTCCCTTCCCTGTCTAGTTAATCCCTTTTCCCTCCCTGGTCTCTATTTTCCTCACCTCAGTTCCCTTTCATGCTGTTCTCACTTTGAATCTTCCTCCTCTCATACCCATGGCAGGAACTTAATAAAGCATTCTTCCCCAGTCCTTCATTCCTAAGCCCTTGTGCGGAGAAACTTCCACCCTTGTGCAGCCCAGTCTGAGGGGAGGGTGCGCCAGGGCTTGGGAGGACCATCACCTAGCCTAGAGTTTTCATCTTTTTTCTGTCTTAGCCCTGGGCTTTCCAGAACTGCCACAGGGCTCTTTTGGCCTTTTGAGTTTTTATTAGTTGCCCATTGAGCCTGGCACCCATGTTCAAAATCTCACTTGGGAGGCTTTCAACAGCTAATGAATTATTTTAACATAGGGGCAGGGTTTAAAGGGGTTTTGAGGAGAATCCAGGAAGAAAATTTGATGGAGCCAGTGGGGGAATGCCCCAGAGCCCACTCTCTGCCAATACAGCCTGCCCAAACCCCAGGAGTGAGGTATGCCTTCTTAGAGGCCCATCATTATGCCAGAAGGAGCAGGACTGTTCAGGATAGCCAACAGTTTTGGGGGCGCATAAGTCACCCAGAGCCTCAGAAGACTGGACTCTTTGGGGTCCCTGCCTCTTGTTTGAGACCTCCTCCCCTAGATGAAAACCCATGACTGGGAGGGTGGGAAACCCATCTCCTGTCCTGTTTGCAGCGCTGGTTTTGTTTTCCTTAATAAATTTTTGGTTATGAAACAATCTGACCTCTTGCTAATCTGTCTCAGGGACTGAGGAGGGAAGGAAAAGCCCAAGCCTGGGCACCTGTATAAGGGCAGCCCTTTCTGGGCCCCTTCACCCACCCTGGTACCACCCATCCGGGTTCTTGTGCAGAAGCAGAAGAGAGCCACAGGGGCCATGGTCCTTGGTTACTGCTTTATTGCTGTTTGGTTTGAGTATAGAAAATGGAAGCGGCTCTAAAAGAGCCTGTGTACAAGGTAGAAAATATACAAACCCAAAGGAGGGAGAGGAGAAGGGAGCTAAAGAGACCGAGTTCCAGCCCAGCCCAGCCTGGACTCGGATGGAGGGCCACCGGGGTGCATGCAATAAATATGTCCGGGGGCTCCAGGGAAAGGAGGCACTAAGGGAGTAGGAGACTGGGTACAGAGGGCTGACTCCAGAACTCCCAGCCCTTGGTGGTCGGGGGAAGGAAGGTTTGGCCCTGGGGCTAGTGCCACTTGTGCAAAATGAGGAACTTCACATTATCAGTCCCGGGGCAGGTGGGGGCGGGGGCGGGGGGCCCTCCGGCCGGCTCAGTCCCCTTCCCACCCCCCAAGTCTGCCCGACTCTCCGACCCCAGCGGGGAGATTCACAGTGAGAATGGGTGTGGTCGCAAGGGCCGGAGGTAGGGCTGGGAGGGCCTCAACAGTGACACCCCTCCCCCCAAGAGCAGCACGTAGCCTAGGGAGGGGGTCAACGAGCCACAGGAAGAGGCGATGAGAGGCCAGGGGTCTCCTTTGGTCAAAGCTGAATTATCAAAAATATAAATCTCCCTCCCCCCCATCCCACTCCCATCCCGGGGTCTTTCCCCCAACCCCCGCCCCCGGGCTAAGGCACAAAGCTGTGAGGCCACAGAGAGGTGGGGCGACGCTGCCTCTGATACTACAGCAGTCTGAGGCACGGCGTGCTCCCTGGGGGGCGTGGACCCGGCCGAACGACCCTGATGAGGTGGGCCGGCGCAGGGTTCTCTAGGTGGGTGAGAAACGATCGATGGTCCGGCCGTCAGGTCCGGCGGCCAGGTGGGCGCCCTGGCTCAGCACCTCTGCCGCCTTGTCGGGGCTAAGGCCCAGCTCCGCAGTGAACTTGGCCAGCGGGTAGAGGCTCTCCAGCGCCACCTTGGGGTCGTGCAGGAAGTGCGTGGTCTGCGCCAACAACTCGGCTGCCGACTTGTCCTGCTGCTTGAAGCTCAGCTGTTCAGCCGTGAGGCGGGCCACAGCAAAAACACCCTCAGGAAAGTCGAGCTTGCCCTTGCCATCAGGGCCTGGGACACCGGGAAGCGCCCCCAGGCCCGCCAGCGCCCCGGCCGCGCCCGCCGCACCCCCCACAGCGTGCATCTTCATGTGGCTGATGAGGTTGCGTTGCTGAGCAAACTTGCCACCACACACCTGGCACTCATAGGGCTTCTCGCCAGAGTGGATGCGCATGTGCTCTGTGAGGCGGTACTGGCGCGTGAAGCGCATGCCGCATGCGTCGCACGCGAAGGGCTTGAGGCCCAGATGGCTGCGCATGTGGCGTGTCATGGTCCCGCGTTGCGTGAATTTCTTCCCACAGATAGTGCACGGATAGGGCCGCGTCAGCCAGTGTGTCTTCTCGTGCTGCCGCAGCGTGGCCGGATCCTTATAGCTTTTATCGCACGACGCGCAGCGATATGGCCGCAGCAACTCGCCCAGACCTCCTGGAGTCCCAGGGACCTTGTCCCCGCCGCCACCAAAAGGGGGCCCTAGGCCAGCGGCCCCAGAAGCCACCTCCGCCGCCTCGGCCCGGCCATATAGCGCTTCCTCCTCCTCCACGTGCGCCTCCACGTGCGCATTAAGCTGCTCCGAGCTGGGGAAGCCCTTGCCACAAGGGATGCACACGTACAGGTTGTCACCGAAGCTCTCCGGCTCTCCATACGCCAGGTGCGGGCATGGGTAGCCTTCGAGGTGGCCGCCAGTCGGGCTGGGATCCTCGCTGCTCCCCGTCTCCTCGCTGCTGCTCTTGTAGTCGTCGCCGTCGCCGCCCGCGCCCGGCCCGTCCAGACTGCCGGGATAGCGCGGAGGTGGCGCCAGGCCGAGCGGAGGACCCCCAGGCGAGACGGCTGCGTCCCCACCACGCTCCTCGCAGCGCTCACCCGGCGAGCCCCGTTCCCGGACCAGCTCGTCGCCATAGCTGCCTAGGCCTGGCTCGTGCTTCATCCAGCGATAGAGGAGGCTGGGCCCGTCGGGGCGGCCTGGAGGGGGCTCGGGTCCCGGGCTCCCGCTGCTGCCACGGAACGGGTCCGGAGTCGGCGCGGCCTCCTCCAGCTTCTGGAAGGGCAGCGGCGGCAGCGGCGGCAGGGTGAGAGGAGGCTCTTTGTAGGCGGCGGGGCCGGCGCCGGGAGGGCTGTCCGGACGCGGGGGCAACTCGCGCTCGCCGGGAGGTCGCTCAGGGACCGCGGAGCCCGGCGGGCTCTTCTTGGACAAATCCAGGCCGCAGAGCGGGGAGCAACGGCGCTCGGAAGCGCAGAGCGCTGTGGCCGGACCGGGGCCCGAGGCGTACAGCTCTGCGCAGTGCGTGTTCACCGCGATCTCCGGGCCAGACGGCGGCTCGGCGGTGGGAGGCAGTGGAGGCCCGGCAGGGGACGAGTAGCAGGTCTGGATGACTGGCGTGGCGGCGCGCAGGCCCCGACCCGGTCGCCCGTAGGGTGCATAACCTCCGCCACCGCCGCCGCCGCCCCGCAGGTGGCAGTACTTGCCGTGGCGCTTGAGGCGTTTCTTGCACAGAGCTACGAGGTCAGGGATCTGCAGGTAGCTGGCAGCAGCCAGCACGGCACCCAGGCTCGGCTCGGTCCCGGGAGCCACGGCCGCGGCTGCCTCCTCGCCATCGGCCAGGCGGCCGGTGTAGATGAAGTCCAGCACCAGGCGGAACACAGCTGGGCTCACCATGTCATGATCCAGGTTGAGCAGGTTGTCATGCACCACCAGGGACTTGAGGTAGGCGCTGCTGGCCGCCAGCACGTTCTTGTGCGCGCGGAAGAGGGCGTTCTGCACCACGATGATCACGTCGCACAAGAAGCCCTTGGTGCGCTGGTTGTTGAGCTGCAGTAGCAGCTGCCTCGAGTGACCCGGCGCCTCCATCGTGTCCAGCATCGTCTGCCCAGCACAGTCTCCTGCGGGGACACACACCAGCCAAGTCAGTGCCGCCTTGCACTCTTGTCGTCGCTACCCTGCCCGTCGATTCTCCCCTGCACTTCCCCCTTCCCTTCGACTGGGTAGGGACATCGAGCACCACAGCCTGGCACCGCAGCCTCTGGGAGTGGGAGCCTGGGCCGACAGGCCAAGCCAGAGGAAAGAGCTGCCACCAGTTGAGAGGAGGCCAGGCTGGCCGTGACACCCCAGGCCCAGCGGCCACCGGGCACACGAGTTGGGTGCTGGGGGCTTCCGAGGAGAAAACAGTTGGGAGTGAAGAGACCCTTTCCGAGACAGTTACCCGATTTGAGGAAAATGTCCGCTTCAAGAAAAGTCATTCAAGGCCGAGAAGTTTTGCCCAAGTGGGGCTAAAAGGAGCCGAATAGGAAGCGCCTCCCGCCTCGGGAGAAGTTGCCCCAGTTGGGGGAAGTGATCCGAAGGAGGGGAGCGCGGTGCCCGTTGGGGCACCGCCCAGACCCGGGGCTGTCAGGCCCTCTGATGGGCCGGGGTAGTGGCCGGGCGCGGGGAGCGGAGACAGCGGCTGCCGTGGCGGGCAGAGCGCGAAGGCCGGGCCCCAGCGCGGGGAGGGCGTTATATCGGGGCAGGAGGCTGAGGCAGGAAGCAGGTGGGGGGGGAGGGGGGAGCCACGCAGCTCCCAGGGGAGGGAGGGGGCAGCGCCCCGGGCGGGCACGGCGTACAGCCGGCTGCGGCCCTGACCCCGGCCTGCGCCCCACCCGCATCACGGCCCTGGCCTCAGCCTCATCTCAGCATTCGCAGGCCTGGCACCTCCCTCCCCAGCTCTCCTTGGCCCCTTCTCCCCGGGAACTCCATCACCCCAAACTTAGGGAAAACTTTCCCAACTTCAGACAGGGCGGGAGGAGCCAGCCAGCCCCAGTTCCTCAGCTCCCTGCTTTTCCTTTCGGCCCCCAATTCCTGCGGCCGAGCCGAGCACTTAGCTCTTCTGCCCGTTCGCCCGCTCCCGTTCCCTGCTGGGCCTGGCGGCCCGTTACCTGCGGTCTCAGACCAATCGGACTTCCCGCGGTGGTGGCAGCTCTTCGATGGTGCCCCACCCGCCCCGCTGCCAGGCGCCGAACTGTGCCAGGGCAGCGCCCCTGGCTGCCCCGCCCGCCAGCTCCCCTTCCCTTCTCCCCTCTCCAGCCCATGTGCGGGCAGAGCCGGCCCGGGCCACTGACCCCGCCGTGAACCCTGCGCGAAGCAGCGACCCTGCGGTCCTGAGTTCCCTAGGGGCTGCATCCAAAGCCTTGAACGCCAGCCGCGATAAGGCGCCTGCACCGGAGGATGCGCCCCAACAAGGACAGTGCGTGGAGACCGGGTGTCCCGGGTCCCATGTCCCGCCCGGACCCCAGACTGGGAACCCACCTGGGGGGCATGTCTGAAGCCCCGGGCCCGGCTGCCGGCGGATCCAGGGGGGACGTGGCTGCGCTGCGCTGCGCTCCGCCCGCCGGGCCCCCGGTCGGTCTGTCCTGCTGGTCCGTCCTCCCCGCGTCCTGGTCGCGTCTCAGCCCCACCGCGTTTGCAGCACACTCTTATCTGGAGCGGCCCGGGCCGTCTGGCGCTTTTGCGGCCATGGCGCCATCTGGCGGCCACGCGGGGCCCTGATCAGCAAAACCGCGACCTCCTTCCCGCTCACCTGGACGTGGGCTCACAGATGTGAAGTTGGGTAAGGGACCTACTCGTAGGTCCACCCTCCCAGCCCACCTGGGATCCAAGACCCCAGCCTTATGAGTCACACATATCCCGGGGCATTGAGCCGATAAGGGCTAGGGTACATCGCTCCTCCCCTACCGACCCAATTTGGAAAAGTCCTGCTCGAAAGGAGGAGACTCTGGTCGAAATTCTAAGGGAGACAAGATCTCTTCAGACATTCCTAGAAGAGTCTGTCCACTTGGATTCCCCAGCCAAAAGTACCCCCATACTCTCTCAGCTACATGATTTAGAAATGCACAGTATAAACAGACATGACACCCACGGGGCGTGCATGTTTACACAGATACACCCTCGCCTCCTCCGGAGTCCGGGTTTATGTTCTCTTGAGATACTCCCAGGACTGCTAACTAGGGCCGCCCGTGAACCTGGACAGAGGTGTTACCCAAACAGCCTGCACTAAACTTGTGGGTCTCCAGGGAAGCCCCAGGATACTCAGCTGAGAAGGCAGCGTCTCTTAGGGTCCTTCAGAAGCGACCACACACACACCCAGATTGTCGCGTGAGCCATTTTGAGAAACTCTGCTTGGACCATCTCTTTACCAACTCATGGACCCAAGAGAAACGTGACAGGAGAGCCTGCACCATGTGTGGAGGACTGGCTCACGCTGGTGATGCCTCTTCTAAGAGGGAGGGGACACCCCAGTGGCATGCTGTACTCCGGAAGTGTCCCCGCACGGCCCCGCCGCTGCACCCAGTTATTGGTAGAGCTGCGTCTTCCTGGCCCACGCTCCGCCTCCTCCCCGCACCTCCTGACCCCCGCCTACGCGCGGGGGGAAGGGGGTCCCCGAGAACGCCTGCAGTTTCTGATTGGCTGTGCCTCCCAGAGCGGCTGAGCTCCGGAGGTTGGGGCGCCTTGTTACCATAGTAACCGATGAGGTTCGCCCAGATCGCGTCTCTCAAAGGCCTTGAGTTTAGCAAGCGCGCCCGGCCGCCGGGTGGGAGGGGGCCGCATTTGCTACCCCTGCAGTCCTCCGCCGCGGGCCCCTAGGCCCCCACCAGAAGCAGTGGCTGAGTCACCTAGCTAGGGGGCATTGGCACGACCAATCGAAGTTCCTGACAAACACCAAGGTCTCGGGCGCCCCCCAGAGGCTCCCTTCCTTCCACGGGAGGCTTCAAGACTTTCGTACGGGCGGATTGCTCTAGTCCTCACGGGTCAATCTGACGCCCACCGCGTCTTGAGTCTAACTTTCACCCTGTTTCCGCCCACTTGAGATCTCAAAGATGAAAACTAGGTTCTGGAGCCTCTAGGGAAGATTCAGACAACTTGATTGAGGAACGTGCTTGGGCTAAAGTGCAAGAGTGCTTAGATTGTTGGAAGGAAGCTGTAAGCCTCTTCAGAGTAAGTGCTCTAAGAGCTGGGCTTTCAAGGATGAATAGGAGTTCTCCCACCACTGCTGGGACAAAAGCTAGTAACAAGAAATGGGGCACTCTAGTAGACTAGATCCCAAAGATCGTGCAAGGGCCTCTCTGACCCCATCTTTTTCTAGCCAAGGAGCCCATCGTACCCCTAATCTTTTGTGCAGTGGGGTCTATGCAGGGTCCACTGTCCTAAAAACACTCTCCTGGGATCCGTGTGTCCCCCCTCCCCTAGTACTATTCCTATCCCCTACCCTCAAGCCATCATTACATCTCTAAAGAAGGGTCTCACAGCCTGCCCCCAGACCAGATGTAACATATCCCCTCAGACCATAGACTTCACTTTTTCTCGGTCTTCAGCTCCTCCCAGCCCAGACCCACCTTCTCTGGCCTAATGAGTATCTGCTGCCCCTCTACTCCCCATTGCAGTTTATCTCTCTCCTTTCCTTTTTCAAGCCTTCCTCTAATAATGAAACTAGGTTGGGCCAGGACCTCTCAGTTCACTTCTCCAGAGGAACTGTACCAATGTGGCATGGGCCCTTCGTGCTAATAATGATCTCCAACAGCTCTGACTCCTCCAAGATGTAGTACATTGTTCCTAAAACCCGCGAAATCCCCCTGTACCAAGATCCTCAATTTCTCTGCTTTCCCTTGGTCGCCAGCTTGTAACTGGTACCTAGATTAGACATTCTGTCCCAGGTCCAGCCTCCTGGCCAAAGCTCTCCAAGACCACTGGACTCCCCGGTCTCCTACTCTTCTCCCCAATCCCATCTCCCCACGCACAGCCCCAACTGCACCCTAGGTCCCTCTCCAGGTCCAGCTTCCTCTCTTGACCCCCCCAGGATGCCAATACCCCAATGGTCTTGTGGGGTGTGACGCCATCGAGGGTCATCCTGTGATATCACGGAGCCCGGCGGATCCTGGAAGAGAGGAGTGAGGGTGGGGACTACCAGTGAAGAACCCCAAAAGGTAGAGCAGGGTTGGTGAGCTGTGCCCCAGAGCTCCAAAAGCAGAGTGAATAAACATGTAGCATGCCCACATGCCCTCCCTCTGTTCTCCCCTCAGCCCCCAGTTCCGGAAAGTTAACCCCTTGCAGGCACGGGCAAGGGTGCGGGCTTCCCCACTCTGTTCCTGCTTCCGCGCCCTCCTCCCATTCCAGCTCCCCATCGCCTAGGTCCCCCCAACCATCCCCCCCTCCCTCGCCACTTCCCCCCCACCCCACCCCGCCTTACCACTATAAATAGCCCCTCTTCCCGTTTCCTAAATTCCCTGCTGACGTCGGCAACGCGTCAGTGTGTAGGAGCAGCGGCCGCATGAATGAGCTGCCGCACGAGTACTACGCGCGCCTATAAAAGCCGCGGCGCCGGGCAGGGCTGCGGGAGGCTAGCAGGCGCGGGCGCAGCGCGGCCGCCAGGTAAGCAGGACTGATGGACCGACAGACGACAGATGGACCGACCCGAGAAGATAGGGACGGGAGGCCAGGGGTAGACTGGAGGGCACCTCTCTGTGGTGGGGACAGGGTGGGGGACGAGGGTCCCTTTGCAGCTGGTGGAGCGGTGGCTGGATGAGGCCTGACTGGCCCCCTCCTCACGCTGGGACCAGAGGCGGATGCAGAACCCTGGCAACACCTGCTGGCGCCCGGATGGAGACGCAGACACTTCGAAGAAGCATCGAGCAGAAGACAGACCCCAAATCCCCACGGCTTTTCCTGGGCTTCTGCGCCATTCTCCCAAGAAAGTGGGGCGAGGGTGCTGGCGCCCCAGGAAACGCGCCCCCTCCTCCCCCTCCTGGCAGCGCGGTGACTCAGCCTCATTGCCCCCTGACCGGCGGAGTGGGGGCGCCAACGACAGACAGGCGCCCACCTGCCCGCCGCCCAGGCCACTGCTCTCTGGAAACCCCTGCCCGCATTCAGTCCCAGCGCCCCCTCCCTGGCCCGTGCCGTCGGGCTTGTCCCGCAGCGCCCCCGACTTCCCGCCTTTACACGCGGAGCTGTCCTCTCAGGACCAGGCGGGGACTCTGTTAGACTGCCCCGCCCCGCCCCCACAGTCACCACCACCCCCTCTCCCCGCCGCCGGAAGTGACTCCCCGCAGGACCAGCTTTGACGTCATAGGGTTCTGACGTCAGAGGCCACGTGCCTGTCCATGAGGGTTGGAGCCGAGATGGGTGGGAGACGATGGGGGGAAGAGGAGAAGCAGCGCCCACGCCGCAGGCATTGGGAGCACCCCTGGTTCCGGGCAGTGCGCCGGCACCTTGGCTCTAGACTGCTTACTTCCCGGGCCGCCCTCAGTAACAGTCTCCAGTCACGGCCACCGACGCCTGGCCCTGCCCCAGGACCCTGGATTCGGCTACCACTCGCGCCCCGGGGCCCTCTATCCCCCCGGGACCCCGCAGCCCAGCGCTCGCTGTCCGCGTCGCCGCTGTCCGCGGTGCTGATCCAGCGCTGGCGACGCCACAGGACCGTCCGCGCCCCCGACCCCCAGGTGCTGCTAGGGAAGACTGGACAAAGCTCACACTCGCACAGCCCCCGCACCCCCGCCGCGCGCGCTGCCCTACCCGCGCCCCCCACCCCCGCGGCCTTGACGTCAGCCGGTCTGGAGCAGCCGCGGTGCCGTCAGCGGCGCGCACCCCGCCCCGCGTCTCCAGGGCAACCGTGGCTTTCGATTGTTACTGTGGGAACCGGAGGTAACAGTCTACAGCCATGGTCGCTCCGCAGCACGTGCTGCTCCACGCCGCGCCCTGCCAGCGGACAGTGGGAAGACGGCGAGCCGAAGGCGGGGGCGAAAGTCACGATCGAACTTGCCCTCGGAGGTGGTGGAAAATGCGGGGAAGGGAGGGGGTGCCTAGGGATCTGGTTGCTGTGCGTTCACCCAGGCAGGGAGGCACGGTCTGACCCTCGGCCTCAGTGACTGTCTTTTCCTCCCAGCCTAGTTACCAGAGCGCGGATATGGCAACAGAAGGGGTAGTTCTGGGACTGGGGTTCTTTTTCGTCTCCTCTGTGGGAGGGAGGCTGCTGCAACCAACCAAGAAGCATCGGACAACATTCTGTTTGCGTCCTGGAGATTGAAGGCAAGTTTTCCTAAATACGCCACACCACCATTATTTCAAGGAGCTCTGGTAGCGTAGTGGTTACGAATCGGGCTGCGAAATTTAAGGTCAACAGTTCGAAACTACCAGCGGTTCCGAGGAAGACAGATGAGGCTTTCTGCTCCCGTAAAGATTTACAGCCTCGGAAACCCTATACAGGGTCGCTATGAGTCGGAACCGCCGGAACCGCCTCCACAGCACACCACCACCACTGTTATTTCAGTTGCGTAGATTGAGGGCAAAAAATTAAACCCTTGAGTTCGTTTCCTGATTGGAATCACAGACTTCCCTAATGTGCCACCCCTCCCCCCATCCCCGTTTCTCCTTTAGAACTACAGAGGGTAAGTAGGG